ATGCTATTTTAACTTTCTGCCTTGACTTCTCTCTCAGCTGAATACATGTTGGATTGGAAATTGATGACCATCTCAGAAAACACATATTCCTTTTTCTGATGAACAGGTCTTGTGATCTCTAAGCCAGACCTGGTCACGTTTCTGGAGCAAATGAAGGATCCCTGGGATGTAAGGAGAATGGAGACAGCCATACACCCAGGTATGTGTCTATGGCTGAAGCAGATAACTCCGGTGAGAAGCACAAGCATTGGGGAGGAAGTAATACATTGTCGTGTGGTTTGAGAAGATCTGCTTGAGTGTAGATGATTTCGGATTAGCCTAGGTTTATTTCTGTCACTGTCATAGAGCCTCCTCTCCTGACCCATTCCTGATTCTTTTTATCATTTGTGTGTTTTTCTCCAGTGATTAATTTTCACATTCAGAGTTAGAACCAAAATACTTGTCTTGGCCTGGAACAACCTGCATGACCTGATAACTCGTCCATTTTGGGGAGGTTTTGGAAAATCTGCATATTTCTGAGTAACTATATGAAGCCCTTTTAAAAGTGCTGATTCTGTTTCTAGTCAGAAGTGTGTGGGTTCAGCTGTGAAAAAACTGCCAAACTTCTAGGAATACTGGGGACAGATGTTTTTTGTTCTCTACCATATAATTTCCAGTCCAGTGGAAACTACACATGTGACCTTAGAAATATCATACTCAAATTCTTTCTTCACTGCATTGTTATCGGCACACCTTCCAGGAAACAAACTCACTCAGTAGGCCAATGCAGATAGTGGAGTGCACTTTATTACACTGTTCCTCCCAAGGGAGAGTCTCCTCTTAGCCAGGGGCCCCAACCATCATTTGTGAAAATCTTTCATACCCCATGTGTACATGTCCAAACCCACCACCCCAATCCCTGATGCTTACAAAGGAAGGGTAAATACAATCGCAATAACCCCATCATTCACGTGTTATGTCTTCAAACAGTTAATAATCATTAAGCCCACGGTTACATTCCAACCAGTTAATAACTGATAACCTGTGCTTACATTCTGACAGATAGTGTCTGGAGGCAGGGGTGATTAGTGTCTATTCTCTCTTAGGTGATGAGTAACCTGGATATGATCTTCAAGGTTCCCCTGTCTGGAGGGGGTCTTATCCTTCCATTGTCATTCCCACAGGCACTAAGCAGAGAGTTCATGGTCCATTGGAGAGGTGGCCGAGCATGATCAGCACAGACAGGCCTGAGATCGAGTTCAGGCCCTATGAATTCCTTCTTCACATAAGACACCTCACTAAAATGAGAAAATGAAAATCTGAATTTTATGTTACAATTTGTCTTTTTTTATATGAACTAACATTAAATGTGTTAAGTATATTTGTCCCAATTCATTAATGCTAAAATGCTTTAATATATGTATTTAACTCACAGAGTTTTTAAAGAAATTACTCACGTGGGAGTTTAGAACATTTCCCACAGTGCTATTTTCTGATTGTTCTTCACTATTAAGCTTATAGATTAGATAGAGAAATCTTTAAGAAGAAATTTTTCCATTCCAATAATGCTATTTTACAATGTTATGTGAGGTTTACAATGTTATGTGCATATGATAAGTGATACATATACACTTTCCATTCTTGAGGAGATTTCCTTCCCGTCAGGTCACCACAGAGCATTGAGTAGACTTCCCTGTGTTTTAACCATATTTTTCAAGTCTCACTTCTCATTTGATTTGTTAAGAACTCTTACCTTATTAAATCTATCTTGTTTGTTATGAAACATCCCAGGACTTTATCATTCATGCCATCTATTTCTGATTAGCTCTAGGTCAATAGCATTTACTATTTTACACTCTATCAGAACATGCTCAGATAACAACCTGAGTGGTAAGTGGGTTAAATAATTAGTAGGCATTAGCATTTGTGAAACCAAAAATTACTCATTACACTGCTCAACTTCTCTTCCCTTCATTGTTCCTGTAGGTTTCTATCTTTACTTCTCCTCTGCACCATACTCCTTTTTCATCTCATCTTGTCCAATGTTCTGTGTTTGTGGTCTCTGTTCTGCAGCCTGCAGATCCCAGTTCCTCTTGCTCTGGTGTCTGCCCCTTGGTGGGTGAAGTGGTCCAGAGACTTGTGCCCTTATGCCCTTGAGAGGGGGTTGATTGTTACTATTGTGACCAGAGCCTGCCCGGATCTTGAGGGCCGCTTCGCCTTTCCTCTGTGGCTGTCACTGTCTGTGGCGGGGTCTGCTTCCTGATTGGAGGAACAGAGGCCCCAGATCTGAAATGAGCTCTGCTCTGATCTGTGGTGCTTCTGATCTAGTGGGACTGGAGCACACCCACTGAGAGGGAAGCCACTGAGTGTTGCTCCTCTGGGGATGTTCTCCTCGGAGAGTGCTCTGCGTGTCATCTTTCATGTGCTGTGCGAGCTCTCGTGTGACCCTGTGTTGGCATTCAACTTGCCCCCACCTGAACCATGGGTATGCTAGCACATAACCCTGGTGTTTCTCAGATGTTGTTTTCACCAGGTCACCAGCAGAGATCCACTGTGGTCATATCCCAGGTGTACGTTCATTGCAGAGCTGGACCCGCTGCGGTGCTATGGGGGCAACGTAGACTGTGACCTGGCCCAAATGCCTCCTGTGCGTGCCTACAACGTCTACAGTTGCTGAAGCAAGACTGGTCTTGACTGCCAGAGCCTCATTTCCATCCAGATGTTCTGTTGGGGCTGAGTTTACCAAGCCAGTTGTGGGGTGTAACACCATGGTTTGTACAGACGAAAGGAGAGATCTCAGCTCTTCTTGCTTAGTGGCAGGGCCTTGGGGCTCAGCTGTGGTTTCAGCACCACATGTACATTGGGACCACCCACAGGCGTGTGTTCTGAATGTGCCCCTGGAGCCCATGATTCTACCATGGTTGGGAGGAGACTGGGGAGGAGGAAACAGCTGTGGGGTTCGTGAGATCACCCACCTAGGTGGGAGCCATTCCTAGTGCCTGGAGAGGCAGGGACAGGCAGAGGGGCAGAGAGGCTGCAAGGAGGTTCTTCCCTTCAAGCATCACTCAACAGCGCCGCTCTGCTCCTCTGGTGGTTCAGGCTTCCTCCACAAGCATCCCATTTGCAGAGCTCCTCCCTCCCTCCCGTCCCCTCAGGATGTCTCCTCATGGCCAACTCTCCGAACCCCACGTTCCAGCACCCAGGCCTTGTCTGCAGCGGAGGACACCCTCTCCAGCTGGGTGGGCAGGGCAGGGGTCAGTACCCTGCATACAGGTCTCACTCTGTCATGCACGCTCGTTGCCATGTTCTCTTCCCACAGAGAACGAGGCTGCCCTTCTGTCCCACCTGAGCTCCCGTCAATGAGGGGCTTCCCTGGATTTGGAGACTTCTCCTCTCTTCAGATCCCCCCAGGGTTTTGCAGGTCCCATTCGGCTTCTTTTCCTCTTCCCTTTCCTCCATCACTCTCCTGTCCTACCTGGCTCAGCAGGAATCTTCTTTGTCCTTTCAGGTGTCCAAGTTCCTCTGCCCATGTTCGGCAGGGCTCTGAGAATTTTTCCACTTCAAGCTGTATTCTTGATGCTTTTGTGGACATAGATGAGCTCCACGTCTTCCGAAGCTTCTGCCATCCTGACTCCTTCTATCTTGGTTTTAGGCTTAATCTAGCCAAGTGTATGCCAATTTTATGTAAATTGTAGACTATATTCCCCAACAATAGTAAGTAGAATAACTTATTTTTTTTTGGTATCTTTCAGCTGTGTCTTCTCACGACACCCAGGGTTTGAGGACCCAACAGCCAGGCTTAAAAGATTTACTCCCAACAGCAAAGCTAGGAATATATGAAAGATTTCACCTTGCACATTTACATTTAACCAAAGACTGGAAATCTATGAGGGCATATAAAGAGCGGAGAGCATGTTGTGATGGACACAACCAAGTTGGTTCAGTTTCTCATAAAGTAAACATTACCGCCAAAAGAAATCAAGGATGTGAATCAAATAAGGAAAAACCAATTTCAGATGACCAATTTCAGTCATCAACATCTGCAGTTAAGTGTTTATTTGTCAGCAAAGATCCACATCATCTCTTGAAATGTACATGTTCTCTGAAGGGGAATATGGAAAATCTGGAAAGTCATCTAGTCTCTCCTGCAAATACTCCTTCAAACCTACACTCTGAGCATAGCTGTCTATTAAATATACATTCAAACATGTCTGGAAACCAGAAGCTTAAACATGAGGGGGAACATTCCCAATGCAGTCAATTTGAGGGATCCTTTAACGAGGGTTTCTTGTTCTTGAACCAGCAACTATTTTCTCCTTGTTCCAAAATCTGTAATGTTGATAATAATGGGAGAGACCTTATTCAACCATCATTGTTCAATACATATGGAGGTATAATTAGTGTGGAACAACTTTCCAAGTGTAACAAAATGAGGAATGCCTTAAGCAGGAACTCTACCCCCAATAATTACAAGAGTATACATGATGGAATGAGAAGCTCTTCATGCAATGAAACTGGGCATAATGTTGACCAAGACTCATATCTCGTGAAACAACAGGGACATCAAGTTTCAGACAACAATTCTAAACATCATAAGTGTAGGAATGTATTTTATCAAAGCTCAAATCTTACTATTCATACTTATAAGTGTATGGATATTGGAGAGAAGAGTTATGAATGTTATGATTATGGTAAAGTTGTTAACCAGTCTTCAAAACTTATTCAACAGCAGATAATTCAGAGTAAGCAGAAATATTGCAAGTATAATACATGTGGAACAGTCTTTAGTAACTCACCAAATCGAAGTAGACATAGGAAAGTTCATACAGGAAGGAAACAATTCAAATGTCCAGCATGTGGCCAAACCTTTAATCAGAGTTCATATTTAACTGAACATCTGGGAATCCATGCTGGGGAGAATCCATACAAATTTACAGAATGTGACAAAGTGTTTATCTGCTATTCATGTGTTACTCAACATCAGCAAATTCATACTAGGGAGAGACCTTATAAATGTACAGCATGTGGCAAGGCTTTTAAGCAAAGTTCAGCTTTAACTGAACATCAGCGAATCCATACTGGGGAGAGACCTTATAAATGTTCAGCATGTGGCAAGGCTTTTAAGCGGAGTTCAACTTTAACTGTACATCAGCGAATCCATACTGGGAAGAGACCTTATAAATGTACAGCATGTGGCAAGGCTTTTAAGTGGAGTTCAAATTTAACTGAACATCAGCGAATCCATACTGGGGAGAGACCTTATGAATGTACAGCATGTGGCAAGGCTTTTAAGCACAGTTCAACTTTAACTCAACATCAGCGAATCCATACTGGGGAAAGACCATATAAATGTACCGAATGTGGTAAAGCCTTTATCCGTTATTCGTTTCTTACTCAACATCAGCGAATCCATACTGGGGAGAGACCTTATAAGTGTACAGCATGTGGCAAGGCTTTTAAGCAGAGTTCAAATTTAGCTCAACATCAGCGAATCCATACTGGGGAGAGGCGTTATAAATGTACAGCATGTGGCAAGGGTTTCAAGCAGCGTTCATCTTTAACTGAACATGACCGAATCCATACCGGGGAGAGACCTTATAAATGTACAGCATGTGGCGAAGCCTTTTCCCAGAGTCTTTCTCGACATCAGAGAGTTCATGCGGCAGAGAAATGTAAGGAATGTGGCCAAGGATTTCCTCACAGCCATCACCTCACTCACAGTCAAAGAATTCATACTGCAGAGAAAGCCTAGAAATGAATCACTGATAAAAAAATTTCGTCCTAAATATACAACTTTGAAAAAACGAGTGTTTTCTTTCAAAAGATACATGAATGAAATAAAAAATGTAGAAAACTGCTTAATCAAACATCAAACATAACTCAATAACAGAATTCATACTAGAAAGCATTTTATTCGTACCAGTTTTGTTGAATTACTCTAAGCAGAAACACTGTAGCATGTATTCCATAAGTAAAACACATAAAAAATTGATTATGTTAGTATGGATCACAAGATGAAGGGGTGGATATTTGCAGATGTATAATTATTATTCATGTATCCTTGCTTATGTTAACATTATTTGAGATTATTAAGGAGCCAAAACAAATGTAATTCAACTCTCAAATTACTACATGCTGTGATTTGTTTCTACTGTATATATGAATTTATGTTTTGGATGGTTGTTGCCCAATGGCAAGAAGCCCTTCTATATTAAGTGGGAATCATTTACATTTATTCTCCAATTTGTAAGATTAAGAACACAGTCATGTTATATACACACTAAAGCTCTGAATGGAGGTATTTGTCACTGATGTCAAACACCTCTGTGGTCACAATGATGTAAGTGTTCAGGAAATAATTCAAAGTGAGATAGAAGTTTGCTCTAAGTTTTCAATAATTATGTCAGTTGCTTTTTAAGCATGAACCAAGGATAGTTCATGAAAATCTAAGGTATTTTTATAACAGCAACATAGAGAAATCATGCATATTATGTGGCAGGCTTGAAGGAAGGACACCTCTTCTATCTGATGTAAGTATAGAAAACTCTGGAAAAGTCATATTAATATAATTAATGTCTATCCATGTTTACTCAATTAGCCTCCATTTTGTAAAACATATAAATCACATTCTCCGATCATTTCATCAGAGAAACAGGAAAGTTTCTAAAAGCTTGTAATGTGTATTTTAATCAAGGATCAAACAATTGTAAAAGGTTTTATTCCATCTGTGTAAAATTAATGTGTTTTGATTAATAAAAGTGAATGGTTTTTCAGTGTTACAATTGTTGGAAAGAATGAATGGTTAATGCACCACCAAAATTAACCTCTTCCACCTATTTAAGGTTGCAGGAAAGGTAACGTAATGATAAACTATTTGAAGGACAGGGGGATGGCATCTGTAGAAATTAGTTCCTTACTGGCATTAAACCTCTCATAACTTCATATATTTCCCACCATTTCTATGTTGTATCTCCTCTCCGATTGTTATCTACTTGGACATCGTGGTGGTTCTAAGAAGAAGCACTGTAAGAAGCTCTGCATACAGAGCACTGTTGAGAGCTCCCCTGAGCTGCTCCATGCTGTTGCTGCCTCAGCGTCTGTCTGGGGAGCAGGCAGCCTGCAGGTCCTTGAACTCACACTAGCCAGTCCTGTGAGCACCTGCACTAGATGACCACTTCCTTGGCATCAGCAGTCTTGCTGAACCCCAGGGTCTAATCCACAGGCACCCCCTTCAGTTATACCCTCTGAGCTCACCAGAATCCTGCTCGTCTTTGTTTGAATCGATCCCTCCACATTCAGCCTGTGGGACCCACAGCACTTCAACCAGGGTCAGGTCTGAACCCCAAGGACTGGAGTTTTTTCTGACTGGTTCTAGCCTTGCCCTTCCTCTGGGGCCCTCAAGGTTTCCTGTGAATTTTCTGAGGACCTAGAATCATAAACTCACCGTTTTCTCATGGCTTTGGCATACTTTGAATGCAATATATAAATATCTGAAGATATATAAATAATATGATTTATATAACACACAATGAATACAAGATAAAAATATCAGAAGGTATACATGTTAGCAGTGAGAAAACCGAGAAGGAATATGTGAGTGTATGTGTATTCTTACACACTTAACGTAGAGAATTAAGAAATGCTAGATCAAACTGGTCATTTCAGAATTGCAGATAATTTACTAAAAACTGTAAAGCTTGCCAATTTGTTGATTAATCTGTTTTGTCTAGTTTTCATGGAATTCATTTCCTTAAATGTCAGGAGGTTATGTTTTTTAAGGAACTTCCACACGCTCCACCCACGTGACTGCACCAGCTTACATTCCCTCCAGCCATGTAGGAGGTTCCCTGATCTCCAAGCCCCTTCAGCGTTTATGATATTCTTAGTGGGCTTTTTGCTCATAGTTATTCTGACTGGTATCCAATGATATATCCCTGTAGCTTTGTTCTGCATTTCTTATTGCTTAGCGGTGGTGAGCATCTTTCTTTTGCCTCCTGCCCATAGAAAAGAGCAAGCTATCCACACTGCCTCAGCAGCTGTGGGGCACAGGCTTAGTCTCCCCACAGCATGTGGAGTATTCCTGGGCCAGGGATGAAGCCCTTGTCCCCTGCAGTGTCAGATGGATTCTCGACCACCGGGTGACCAGTCTGTTTAGCTTTTTTTCCTTTTGAGACATATATATATATATATATATATATATATATATATATATATATATAGGAATATAATTGCTTTACAATGTTGTGTTAGTTTCTGCTGTATGACATCGTCAATCAGCCGTAAGTATACATAAATCTTCTCCTTCCTTGCCCTCCCTCCCGTGGTCTCCATTTCACCCCTCTGCTCAGCACAGAGCCCCAAGCTGAGCTCCCTGTGGTAAACAGCAGCTTCCCACCAGCTACCTATTTTAACTATCAGTTCAGTTCAGTTGCTCAGTCGTGTCTGATTCTTTGCAACCCCATGGAGTGCTGCTCACCAGGTCTCCCTGTCTGTCACCAGCAAGCTCCTGGAGCTTGCTCAAACTCATGTCCATTGAGTCAGTGATGCCATCCAACCACCTCATCCTCTGTCGTCCCCTTCTCCTCCCCCTTTCAATCTTTCCCAGCGTCAGGGTCTCTTCAAATGAGTCAGTTCTTCACATCACATGGCCAAAGTATTGAAGTTTCAGCTTCAACATCAGTCCTTCCAATGAATATCAGGACTGATTTCTTTTAGGACGGACTGGTTGGATCTCTTTGCAGTCCAAGGGACTCTCAGGAGTCTTCTCCAACGTTTTACCCATGGTGGTGTATATACGTCAGTGGTACTCTTTCACTTGGTCCCCTCTTCTTCTCCTGCTGTCCATGTCTCATCTCTATATTTGTGCAAATATTGTCTTAACAGATATGTGTGGAATTTAAAAAATATATTGATGAACTTATTTACTGAGCAGGAATATAGGTGCAGAGGTAGTTCTTAACCTTTTGCATGTTAAGCTTTCAAAGTATAAAATACATTGACAATCATTCCATGCATTTTACAGTTGTCGACATGTGTTTTGGGAAACAAACTGACTCAGAAGAACAATGCAGATAGTGCAGTTCAATTTATTTCACGGGCGGGGCCAAGGCAGAGTCTCGTCTTAGCCAAGGACCCCAACAGATTTTGTGATAACTTTATATACCCTAAGTGTACTTGCTCAAACCCACCTCCCCAAATTCCTTGAAACTAGTCAGGACAAGGTAAAAGAGAGGTACGATCAAAGTTAACCCATGATTCATGTGTCTCAGGACCAAATAAACAGTAAATATTTATCAACAGGCCTGTGGTCATATCCCAATAAACAGAATGGAATTTACCACTTTGTTCTGTTAGAGAGATAATTAACATATTCTTTTAGGTAACAGAGTCCAAGTACAAGTCCTGAGGCTCTTTTATGGCGGGGGGGGGGGGCAGGGTGGGATCTGATTTTCCATTGGTTTGCCACTTCTATAGACACCAGGGCGCAAAGTTCAGAGTCCACAGGGAGGGTGACCATGCGTGTAGCCTAATGCTCGCAGCCTGGCCTAAGACGGAGTCCAGCTTTGTCTGTTTCCTCCTTCATTATTAAGTGAAAGAAGCCCATTTGAAAATGCTACAAAAAGTAGGATTTTTACAATACGACTTTTTGGTGTAGGTAAATGTTCATATGTGTGCTCAGTTGTGTCTGAGTATTTATGATCCCAGGGGCTGTAGCCTGCCAGGCTCACCTCTGTCCATAGATTTCCCAGGAAAGCCTACTGGAGTGGGTTGACATCTCTTCCTTCAGGGGATCTTCCTGACCCAAGGATCGACCCGCATCTTGTGGATGTACTGCATTGGCAGACAAATTCCTTTCCACTCAGTCACCTGGGAATCTAGTAAGAAATATAGAAGAGATTAAAAAGGTCCATGATTACTGTGGGTTTCAAAGGAGGGACTATGAATATCCCAAGTCTAGAGAACTTACAGGACAATGAAATAATTTGTGTTAAACTGTCATGATGGACACATGTTATTAAACATTTATCTAGAGGTATGGAGTGCACATTGCTAAAAGAGGAACACAGGGGTAAACTAGAGAGTTTATCTACTTACTGCCCATGTAGAATCATCAGTGGCAACAAATGCTCACTCTGGTGGGGAAAGCTAAGTAGGGAGATTGTCCACATGTGGGAACAAGAGGTATATGGGAAATGCCTATACTTTATTCTCAATTCTACTGTGAAACTAAATCTTCTACAAAGTTGGTACTGGTGAATGCAGACTGAATATTTTTTAGAATACATAATATGAGAAAGATGAATATGCTTCTATCTTTTATTTTTCCTTGGTCATTATAGTTTAAAGATGTGGGAAAATAGAGCTCTCTAAATGGACCAGACAATGAACTGTAGCAGTTGATTCATAAAACCTAGAAAAACACACACAGGAAGTAGAGCAACAACATTCTCAGGTATTAATTCATGTGTGATGTAACTTACGACAACACCGATCATTATTTCCTTGGTTAGTCATCAGAGAGCATTTAGGGCATCGTTTTCAGAGGCATTTGGCTCCGCCCACACGCACTGTGAACCTAGCATGTCCTGCTCAGTTGAGTTCAGTTCAGTTGCTCAGTCGCCCTGGACTGCAGCAGGCCAGGTCTCCTGCTGCCCCTGGTTTTGTCAGCGGAAGCACACTGATTGAAATCGCCCACCCTGGCCAGGCAGCATAGAAACCATTTGCATGAGTTGTTTTATGACAATAGATCCT